TAATATATATTTCTGAAGACAGTTTAGTTTCTCAAAACGTTATTACAGGATGAGAACGTATATTGGATTTCAGCATAGCAGCATAATATAGATCTTTATATTGAAAAGAGCGATTTCTACTTATCTCACACACCCCATATTAACAAATCCATTATATACAAGAAATGGGGAAAAATTTAAAATTATTATTTCAAATATAGTTAATTTATTGTTTTATGTTTTGAGGCAATATCGATGCGTTCCTCATTTTATTTTAATTGTTTACTGAAACATGTATACATTTAAAATTCATGACAAATGTATGCAACTTTTAAAATGTGTTATAGTTTTGTAATACATGACTTAAAAGAACGTGGAATGTATAACTCCTTTTTTACTATACAAATATATTATCTGAAGCTCAGTGGATGAGTGGTAACGTATCGCGCTTCCACGCCACAAGTCCAGGATTCAAACCCCGAGCTAGGCAAGGTTAGCCTTCAATCCCTTCAGTGGGTCGAGAAATGAATAACAAGCTTGCTTGGGAAATAAACACTGGGAGGTTCGCGTCAGACTGACCACCTGACAGGAATATCTGCTCATGCTCCTCAGAACCCAAGGTCATGAAAACCGAGAAGGTCACAGGAGACATGGGCCCTCTATGGGATGTTGCACCACTGAGGTTGGTTTAATATACAATCTATTTCACATGGTTTTACAAGAGATTTCATACCACGTTTTAACCGCTTAAAAATAAAGTCGGATGTGATATGAACTATGTTGAACAGCATAAGGAAAAAAATCGGAAAAGCATGTTACCATAACAATCCAAATAAGTCAGCTTTTTTGACTGTAGGGGGGTATAGCCAAATTTGGCTCTTGCGCCATTAAACCCCACACTCACTCACTCACTTGACTGTAGGGGGGGGGGGAAGCTGCAATTTTGGGGAATTTTTTTGCAATGTTTTCTTTATTTTAATTTATGCTTAAAAGCGCCACTACGGTAGGTGATCTCCTATTCTCGCCCATATTTTCAACATTTCACTGCGCAAAGAAACACAACATAATCAATGGAATTAACAGAGTTAAAGAGAATTTTAAAACCTCCTATTGTGAAGCTATTAGAATAACTACTTATGGAAAACGTATTTTGACCACATAATAGTTCATCACCGGGCAATTCACTAGTAATTGGGATGGTGACAAAGGACTTCTGGCGCCTTTCCCTATTTTTGGCTGAAAAATGGCGTTTAATATTCACGTTATTTTTTCACGTTATAATATTCGTAAGAATTTTATACGCATACTCTAATTCAACTGATACTAAATATATCAAAAAAATTATCCATTAGTATACCTTTTCAAAATCATGGTTCCAAACGTAGTCAGTCTTTAAAATTGTGGTGAATATTGTTAACTATGGAATAAAAACTTAAAATTATTCGATTCAATATTACAATATTAACTTCAAAATAGTAACTAAAACTTCACAGGCTGATTAAATGATAAGAAAACATGCTAATTTTATTGTTTTCTCTGTCTTTCAGTTCCAACTATTAGTTCACAATCTCCCTATATATATATATATATATATATATATATATATATATATATATATATATATATATATATATATATATATATATCTTGTTCTCTCTCAAATTTTCAATCTTTAATAAAATACTTTCTATTTATCCATTCAAGTTCAAATACATTTTTTTAAACTTGTAGTGGATGACACTTGATGTTAATACACACACAGTTTTTCAAATATTAATTCCTTAGTTAATGAATAAATAATAACAAAACAAAATAAGAGTCCAACACCTTTTTTAAAAGGAAAACCACTCGTTGTGTCCCTGTAGCGCAATGGATAGCGTGTTGGCTTTCTAATCCAGAAGTCGTGCGTTCGAATCCCACCTGGGATGGCCTAATTTTTGAGAATGTGATTTATGAATGAATAAATGGAAACAAACAGAAATAATAGCCCAGTGTCATATGTAGAAAGGAAAATCGCATTCATTTTGCCACTTAATATTGTGATTCTGTCATATGTATATACATATTTAAATTTATTGTAATTATTTAATAAAAATAGCTAAAATAAAATTTTCTTTGTCGACCTAAGTAGGAATTGACTTAAAGCAAAATTTTTTATGTTACTTGTTTGTGTTAAAAGTACGCGTTATACACCGGATTTTACGGTACTTAAAAAAATTTCAGCACTAATATTTAAATGAATTATAAGGTAATTAATGAACTGAGAGATAATTGTATTTTTAAAAAGGTTTTTATAAAAAATCTTGTTAAAATAATGCTGAAGGATTTCTGTTAAATGCATATAGAATTTTACAGCAAGTGTAACACATGATAGTTTGAGAAAAACAGCAAGAGTGTGTTTATTATACTTGTTACCTTAATTTGCAAGGTAGTTTGAATACCATTGTCTTAGAAAGGATAAATGTATTTAAATAGTTGAGTTATTTCATAATCTAAAAGATACGGAAAATAGAATTTAACATAGTAAATCTCCGCAACAATTGGACAAAATACAAGGTTTCTCCTACGAAAAACATTTTACAGATTTGATAAGTTAGAGAGATTGAAGTTTCTTATACTTGTAATTAGACAGTTAAGGGTACAGTACACTTTTAAATAGGTAAAACCGATCAATTTTTCGATTTTTCACTTTTAGCATATTAGGAATTCTTGAAATCACTGCTACTGAATGCATTAATTATAGTAATAAATGTATTTTCATCAATTGTGGTTGAGGACTGATAATCATCATGGATACAAAAACCTCCATGTAAGAGAGTTTTTTATCGCTTCAATAACTTCAAAATGTTCCATGCGCAATACATTTTTCCCAATTGCACTGAAAATTTTCCCAAATATTCTAGATAGATGTATAAATAAATACTAGTGAATGTTTTTCTTTATTTAAGGGTAGGCAAAATAGTAGAAACAAGAGAATATAAACATTTTAGTTAGTTTTTAAGGAAAAAAACTAAAGGTTTCATCATAAATATATAATTTTTAAAAATGAACTATAAAAAAGCACTAAATTTTATTTTTATGTATACAATGAATACTATGAGGGAATATTGACAGTATAAGCTGAATCTGGATGCGCACGGAGCATTTTGAAATATGCTAATTATTCAATATAATTAAAATTACAAATTTAAATACCTCAGAGACTATTTAAGATATTTTCACTAAACTTTGTACATAAATATATGTTAACCCATTACACGCTTTTTACAAATTTGAAAATAAATGCATTGGTAATTCTAGTAACGAACTCTACACTTATCAGAGCTACAGAAAATTCGGAGTAATTTTCGAAATATTCCTCGAATATGTGAATATTCGAAGAATATTCATATATTTCGTAATATCCATCACTGCTGGAAAAAACTGGCATCGATACCAATGGCTCAAAAATTAAATAATTATGCTCATGGCTTTATTAGTGAAATTAAATAATTATGCTAATAGATAAATTTGTGACTGCGGCAAGCGAGTGGTCATGGCCGCTAACTCGAGTAGTGGGCCCGAGTCCCGATGCCATAAAAAACCAGCCGTGTAGAAAATGTGCGTTAAAACTGTTGAGGCTCAAATTTCTTCTGTTGAGATGGTGTGGAAGTTTAGAGAGGGGGAGCCAGCTCAGGTGTTGTCCTCGTCACTTGACCTTAGTTCTAAATTACGAGGTACGTCGCCAATAGCATTCGTGTTACTTCAGAGAGCGAGGTAAAATAAATAAAAACAAAACTAGGAATAAATTTATTAGTTTAGCATCGTAAAATTTAGCTTACTTTGAACTATTAACACCAGTGATTAACTATTAACCCCTGCCCACATAGCCCTTGAAATTTTTGGATTGGTGATAATCCTATATACATAGTGCTTAAAATTTGATTAAATATTTGTAATTAACAGAGAGTTTATTTTATTAATTAATGCTAATTATTGATTCAATAATTTACTTTTTACTGTTTTTTTGTTCCCAAAATCGATAAAATTAAAAGAACACGTTAGGCGTCGTATTGAGGTATGGTACGAGAATCTTGGACTTTCGACCCTAAACTCCCACCCCCTGAAAATTTTTTGTGTGCACTACTGAATAAAAACACTGATACGAATTTGTCTTAGATGAGAACTGAGGATGCTCTTAATGACTGTTCATAGGTAGATATTTGATTCCAGTCATAAATTAAATTATTAATAGGTCTAGTTTTTCAAGAGAGAAAAGGAAAATATTTCAGAAAGTTGTTGTTTTTTTAAAAAAATATTTTCTAGAACGCAACTATAACCAAACGTGATGCAAGTTCAGAAATTCTTAATCATTTTGAATTTTATTTGACCTTGGATATTAAAACACATTTTTCTAGAGCTTAGTAGTCAAAAAATTATATAACGCTTGGGATCTACCTCAAAGATATCTTTGCAACATTTATATGATTGAATTGTTTAGTAACAAAAAGCATTCCTATTGGTAAAAACTCGAAATTTTGGGGTATCCATTATTGAAAAAGTATTGCAATTTGGCATGAAAAATATGTGTCTTTCATAGCTTCAGTTAAAGTAGACTAATAAAGGGTGTGTGTATCACAATTTAATTCTATAAGAAAAGTTTCGAAAGTAAGTGAGAGATGACATCAAAAATACAAAAACACGCACAGGAATTGTTATCTGTCCTTGAATTTCGTCAATCCATGAAGAAGTAATATAAAAATAATTTTTTAAGTCAATTCCTAGTTAGGTCAATAAAGAAAATTTTTATTCTAGTTACTTTTTATTAAATAGTTACAATTAATATAAATATGTATATACATGTGACAGAATCACAATATTAAGTGACAAAATAGAAAGCAACGTTTCTTGCAATTTTCCATTTTCCTTTCTATATATGGTGTTGGACTATTTTTTTTTGTTATTATTTATTCATTGATCAAATTTAATTATTCTAATGAAATTGTTTAGTAAAATAGAAATCACATTCTCAGAAATTAGGCAATCTCAGGCGGCATTCAAACCCACGACCTTTGGATTAGAAGTCCAACTTGTGCTATCCATTGCACTACAGAACACATCAAATGATTTTCCTTTCTATATATGCTGTTGGACTATTATTTATGTTTGTTGCTATTTATTCATTTTTTAATTTAATTAATGAATTAGTATTTGAAAAAACTGTATTAACATGAAGTGTCATCCACTACAAGTTTAAAAAATTGTATTTGAACTTGAATGGATGAATAGAAAGTATTTTATAAGCGATTGAAAATTTGACTGAGAGAGTGAACTAATAGTAGAAATTGAAAAATATGTCAGGATCTGTTCCAAAGAGATTCATTTCCAAATTTTTACAGATGAGCTGACAAACAACCAGATATTTCCGTAGACGAATTTCTTCGTTTTTGGAATTTTTTTACTATCAAATTCTGAGAATGTATTGGCAATTTGGAACAAAAAAGGAGTATATCTGTTGTATGTCTAACTCCGAACGGAAACCCTTCAAACTTCAGAATGTTGAGCATTTTTATTACCCCGAGGATGTAACCCAGACACAGCGGATTATCCAAAGCTGACTCATGTTTATCGATTTTCCTGCGTGGACAGAGTTTCATCAACCGTAATGTTAAAGCCACAAGCTATAAGCTTATCAATCGTTAAATAATTCCATTTGGATCCTTTTGGATATTTTTGAGATCTCATGTTAAATTCAGATTTCTCATTTGACTGAAAGTTGGATTGAAGACATTAAATGAGTTTTAGATTCTCAATTATAATTAAATGCATTACCTATTATATCAATCTCGTATATTTTTAGTAATGGAGTTTAAGAGTTCGATTTCTAAGAAAATTTCAAAATTATTTTTGAAATAGTATTAGAACACACTTATATGAAGAATTCCTATAACCATTGTCAGAATTTCTGAGTATTTATTATTGTTTTACTTATTTCCTGAAAACGTATGATTTTAGAGATTGATCCAATTGAATGACTATTTAAAATTAATGCAATTTTAATTATGATTATTTAAAATTAATGTAATTTTAAATATTTATACTTATGAATTAAATAATTTTTTTGAAGTTGCAAGTATTTACGTATAATAATTATAATAATAATAATAACTTTATATTATATAGGGCTTAAATTACAATTCCAGTGCAAAAATGTATATTTCGGTAACAGAAAACAATGTATAATTAAAAAGATGATATGAAAAATGTTTATAAATTTTTTTTTCCATTTTAAGTTTTCCGTATTTTTTATACATTTACATAGCTTATCTTAAGCAGTAAGTCACAATATGTGTTTTGTAAATTGAATAAATCATTTTATACTTGTCTTACGTATTGACACAAAATATTATAATTTAAAAACAAACATATTAGAAAGGGAAGTCGCAACACAAAGAAATTTTGTATAAAAGTATAAAAACATATTTTTTTTAAATACGGTAATTTTTGAGTATGTTTTTAAAAGGTAAGAATAATAAACAAAAGCATGCTTAGGAAGTATTGTTAAATTCTAAAAAAAAGTTTTTTAACTGCTATTTTTCGATTTGTTTTGATACATTTTGAAAATATTCATCTAAAATTCTTAAAATTCTTTGCATACGCGCATGGAAAATAACTAGCGGCAGTTATGCTTCACAGAGGGGAATAAATTGTTGCTGTTAACACTCGAGGATTTAAGAAATTCCATATTTTCAATTCTCGAGAATATTTTATGATTAATTTAAAAATTTAAAATTCAAAACACATACGCCTGAAACAAGAACAGCAAATAATGCATCACTTTAAAAGAAAGGAGGATACATTTTTTTATAAATGAAGGAAAAGCATCTACCTGCTTTAATTACATGTTGCTTAATTCTTAAATTATCTCTATTTTCTACTCAATGGTTGGTCGAGCTTCTCAGCTAAAATTAAATGCAAAACTTGCTTACCTCTGTGTTCAGTCATTCACGGAAGCTCTACCCGATACAAACTTTTATTTTAACTTTTTACATCTATATATTTTCTCTTTTAATTTGAACTCTCCTTTGCGGCAAACGGATTGGTTAGGCATCACTCCTCTCACGCCCATCATGACAAAAGAAAAAAATCTCTTATAAGCCAAGATTTTTTTTCATCAATTTTTATCTTTATTTGTGTGTGTGTATTTGTAAATTTATTCATATCAAAACTATTTCTCTTTTTACTTACTTTTTTTAAAAACAAATTTTAAACATTTTTTAAAAAGGGCAATTTGCAAGAGTTTTAATATCATCCAAAATGTCCTGAATGGAGATGAAGGTTTGGAAGAACTAAGTGCTCCCATCTCACCAAACTACAAACTAAATGTCGAGCGGTTTTCTTTTATTTTTCCTAGTTATTGGGGTCGCCAAAAGCCCTCGTGTAGCTGAACAGTTCGACGCACAGTAAGCAGTTTTCCCAATCTAGCGCTCGGGAAGTCCAAAAATGAAATTGCGTGAAATAAAGAAACAACTCACTATTTATGGTCCCTAGCTATGCGGTAAACAGTTTTCGTCAGTACGCGAATGGAAATATTCTACAATCAGAGGTTTTGATCGGGTTTCTTTTTGCTACAAGAAACACTTGCGCGCGTTATTTTCTAGTAAGAAGTTCAATTGTTTCTTCTGAAAAAGATTTTGCAGATTTAAGCGTTTTTTCTTAAAAAATACATGCCATGGGTAAATAATTTCTTGATTTGTGAGTGTGTGTGTGACTTTCAAATTAGGTAAAATTTTGATTAAAAATTGTAAAAACATATAACATTTAGTGCAGCATGTAACTCCTACTAACATATGTCGGTTTTTTGTGTTTATTGGAGTAGAACTTTTGGGATTGACACGGATTGATCCCACTAACACTTAAGTCACATAGAGTAGATATAGACCTTTAATTTAATACCAAATTTAGCTACTACTGCCTGCTACTCCCAAAGTTATGATTTTTTTTTCATCGATGGGTATTTACTCGGCGTGCCTTATTCAATGTATGGTAAGAAGAGCAAGATACTAGAGCAAAACTTATATTGCTTTTTTAGGATTACGGCGGACTTTGATAAATATGAGGACCAGCAGCAATTACAATTTAGAGAAATTGTTAAAAATTTCTGCTCGTTTGTAAGGGGAAAATGGATGAGGTGCCATAGAAATGAAAAGTTCTTCTCCAAGTCGAATGATGCGTGGTTGTCGGGGGGAGTAATATTTTCTTATATTTTATTATTTTTAAGAAAAATATATACTAGTGTAGTATTTTATGTTTATTTAAGCTTATAATAATTACTTTTTCAGAATTATAAACTTCAAAATGGTTTTTCTCAGTTTGTGTTTTTCGCATTCTTTCACAATTATTTACCAATCACTTCTATTTTTTCCCTGTGTTTTATATGTAATGCATGTAACAAAATTAGGGATCCATTTTACTGTAAATTGAATACTTCTTTTTTTTATAAAATTTAAATGTGGGAAATATTAGGTTTTTGGTTGTGTGTTTCAGCATATATATATATATATATATATATATATATATATATATCTCAACATTTTATTATATTTTTTTCTCCAAAACTAATTAAGGTATTGTAAAATCGATCCCTAAAGGTGTTTAAAATATCCTCAAAAATATTACAAAAATTTCATGTCAAAAAATTAAGTAACACAAAAAGAGTAGAATTTTAAAAATTTCCAAATTTCTTAAAAGAAATTAAATTTGTAAAATTGTGTGAATAATATGTGAAAAATTTTATCTCCTATCATTTTTTTAAGTAAACATTACATGAAATGCTAAAATGTAATTTTTAAATACATAAATAAACAATATTGCTCAAAGGGTGCCGAATCCTTTTAATCACTACCTATTATCCTTTTTTGTATATATACAATGTTATGTATGATTGTATTTGTTTAATCGTTAACAATTATTAAATTTAACTTTTTTAACTTGCCACACTATTTCTTTTGTATATATTCTCCCACGTGTAAATTACTACTTTCATTAATATCCTTAGATCCTTGTTCAAAAACTAGTTCCACTTAGCAATCATTTATTCTTGATCAAATTCAAACTTGACATAAATTAGTTAAGACCTTATTAACCTTTTTTGTTAGTAAAAAACAGAAAAGAGTACCCAATTTACATTAATTACTATGATTTTAGATCATTATGAAGACTTTAAATCCATAAAATAATTTATGTGCGCCAGATTGGGAAAACTGCCCACTGTGCGACGCGACATTAAAATTCACTCACTCACTCACCCTAGTTAATGGGCAAATGCGCGCATTCTTCAAGTTTGCTGGAGATAAGTCTGGTTCAATGTTTTCCATGCCTCTTTTTATTAGCCTTGATTATTTTAAACAACAACAGTAAAAATGCTGTTGTTATTCGATATTATTCGTCTTTACAATTAAATGTATTTTGACTGGGTGAAGTAGTAAACAAAAATCTAGAGCACATTCGGCAAAATAAATACAATTCCCGAATTCACAACGCACGCAATAAACATGGGTCCGAAAATTCCTTTTTCAACTCTTCTGAAAAGTATTGGTAATGAAACATGCTTGAATAAGTTATCCTAATCTTAGTTTGAATAGATTATTTTTTAGTCATTTATGTGCAAGAAATATGATTAAATATGACTCCAATTCAGCCTGCATTCTACTAAAAGATGCATCTTACAATCCTAATATAAGTGAATTGCTATCCAATCTACAACAACAGAAGTCACACTAATGCTACTTTAGTTTTAATTACACGTATAACTAAAATATTTACAATAGATACGAAGGGAACATTATTTAATTTTATTATTTTCGCAATAATCACTAGTCCAAATTATTTGACGGCACCTCTATATCTCATTAAACACCTTTTTAGAAAAAATGGCACGTTGATCCGTAAAGGTTTGCCACCCCTGGTATAGAATATACATTATTGTATGAACTGTTTTCAAATTGTTAATTATCATTTTTTTCAGCACTTATCGCTTTACTATCTTTTACTTTCTGACATCCTATTCTTCGTAAGTTACTGTCATTGTCATTGCTCTTGTACAGCAAAGATTTTCT